GAAGGCAATCTTTAACCAATGAGAAAGGAAACTAAGGCAAGCTAAATTTGTTAAAAGAAAAAAAAAAAAAGGCCCCATATGACTACAAAGCTAATTGCCAGAGAAACCAACAAATTAATAAAATTATCTTAAGTGTAATAATAGATATATTAAAAACACTATAAAAATATGTGAGGCTCCACGCACCATTCCAAAATAAAACAGTGAAATTATATTATATATATATAAATAGTATATATTCATATAGTTTTTGTTTTTAAATAATTTATTATTAAATTATATCATCAATAAATAACTTAAATTTAAATAAAAAAATAAATTTTAAAACTGCAAATAATTTAAATTAAAATGACAATAGATATTGTGTATGAATCCCTGTTTTTTAAGTATAAAATTTCATTATTAAAAATTTGATTACGTTTATTATTATTTCATTAAAATTTATTAAATAATTTGTAATATTTATTACATCGATTTGGTTTAGCTATAGATCCTAATTATTAAACCTGATTAACTCTCTCATTTCTTCACAACTTGAAGAATCTTTTTAGTACATTCACTAGTGGTTGAATTGGGATAGGTAAAATTTGATTTATTTTAAGGCTAGTAGATGTTTTTTAAATCGTTAGAAAATCATTCATTATTGCTTCTGCAACATATTTTATTTTTTTGTAACTTTTGCTTAGTATCTGACCAATTCCTCTTGGTGCATACCACCCCAACTTACTTCAGGTCAACACGATATGCTGGGAACCTATGGCACGTATTAAGCAATAAAGCAAGTGCAAAAGAGCGAATAGAAGCAAAAGAAATAAAAACATTATACTCCAAGGTGAACTCATCAAACGTGAGATTCCACTTATATGAGAACAATTTAAACATTCCACTAACAATTCATTATCACCTCTCGTATTCATTAAGATTTCTGAGCGCTACACAGTAAAGAGTGTAACAAAGAAAAGTATCATCTCTCCCTTTTCTTAGATGACTGACTCTAAATAAATGACATGGTAGGCAAGATTTGTCTTCCCCTTATATGAATCTAAATGAGGAATTTTGAACTTTCTTGGAGGCTTTGCCACTTCATATCCCTTGAAAAAGCATTTATCAATTGCATGTTTCTCTTCTCAATCTGCCTTTCTTCTCAATAAAGAGTCAAGGTCAACTCCTCACTATATGGGTAATAAGTCTTATTAATTATTGGTTTAGAAGACAATGATTTAGCTCTAGAAAGTTTTCTTCTCCTCATAACATAATCATCAGATCTTGCTTGCAGCTCCATCGTTAGAAAAGTCGTTAGAATTTGCTTTAATTCTCCCTGGATCATCATTGTCATGCTCTCTTTAAATTAAAAGAAGTGCCTCATAGTGATGAATTACTGATTGCTCTCTATGTTCATAGATTTTTGTCTATCTCGATGTTGTTTCTCTACTTCACGAAATACATATCTTTAGTTTGTAGCATGCTCCATGCTTATCACACTAATTAGGATGTTAAACCTATAATTATTCATGAATAAAAAATACCTATATTGAGAATACTAAGCAAAAGGAGACCAAAGAAATAGAGAGAGAAAAAAATTCTAGAGTGAGAAGTTCTAAGATTTATGTAAAATAAGCTTAAGTATAACAAATTGCATCCTCCATGCTTACCCTTTAACTCCCTATTTATAAATTTGGGTTGAGGCTTGAGCATTATAGAATTGGTGACACATGGCTATATAAAAAATAAAAAGTTAAGAGCTTTTAAATATAATCAGAAAGTTAGACAAAAAAAAAAGTTGTTCATCGTGCTAATAAGAAATTTCTGGCATGGCTTTCAAGGGTGGACAAATAGTCGAATAGCTAATCAATCATTTCTCATATGAAAGAAGTCAACAACTTGTAGAATCGCTACGGGTGGCTTTATAGGACATGCTCTCCTACTTGGGGACAGTTCATTTGTAGACTTGATAATATCCTTTTTAGCTCATATTGAGTAGATCAAGACCAAGTTAGATTACCTTAAAACATATCAATTAAGCTTGAAGTTAATTTTTTAGATATTTGGTTGAACAATTATATTCATAGATTCTTTACAATTAACAAGGGAGGATTTACACGAGAAGGAGTCAAACCAAAACAAAAGAGGATAATGACATAATATGTGATTTGAATTAGACAAAGTTTTGGCCCAACAATACAAATGATGTGATGTGCATGCTTGATCCTTGACCTCCTATTTATAAATATGGTTCATAAATAATGATATAAGAATGACTGCATAATAATATTACAAAAATAATAAAAATAAAATAATAAAACATAAGGAGGCTTTTTATATATAGTCAAACTTATTTATTGGACTAGAACGAGATATTGAATTTAAACTTTTTATAGCTAATTAGAGGTTACAAAGGACCTAATGGACCTCTTAGAGAAGAATAGGAATAGAGATTCAAAGTGAGCTAAAAAGGAAAATAAAAGAATTTGAGATTTTGGAGTTGTGGCAAAATACAAAATGATAGTAATCTTTAGCATTTAGCCCATAGTTATGGGTGTAGTCTAAGGTTGGTGGTAAATGAAGAAATACATACTAAAGTATAAATAAATAAATATACTTGAAATAGTTAGTGATGTACACATGAGACTGATCAAGTATTATCTAATAACTGAAAAATCAAGACAAGCAATCTTTCTAAGAAGTAGTTCCCCTTAGCAAGGTTTATTACTAATATAAACTAATAAGTTTAGTTAACGAGAACCCCTTAATTAGCTTTAATTACTCCTAGACTAGTAATCAATATAATTGATGGTGACTTTAATAGTTCGATAGTAAGAGCTGAATAAGTCTAACTCTTATGTGAGTTGATGAGATCTAATCTTATGTAACTTGAGAACTTTGGATAAATTTTAATAGTTATAGGCTAACAACTTTTGTTGAACCATATTCATACTATAAAAATGACTTTGACTTCGTTTGGGATAACTTTCTTACTTCTTTCTACAACATTTTTCAAGTATAACAATTTTTAGTTCAAGAAATTTTAATACTACAAATTTGCTTTAAAAAGTAGTAAGAAAGTCATCCCATACGAAGGCTTACATACAAATATTAGGATTGTTAATGCATAGAAATCTTTCCTCGGGATGCTTCATGTTATGGTTTTATGTCTTAAACATTGATTAATGCTCACAATTTAAAATTACATATGATGTCAAATTACAGATGATGTGAAACCAATACCCAATAAGGATCTAGCCCAAGGTTAAAAAAAATGATAATGAGTTCAAAGATTCTTTATGATAAACTACGGTGTATATAGAACTAAGTTGATTCATTTGAGAACAAGAAGAGAGGGTCAAACTAAGCTTAAAAAAAGATATCATGAGAGAATTTGACATTTAGGTCAATCATATATGCAAAACTCGAATTCAAAATCTTTTGGTTGGTAGTCAAAACTCGCAACCATTAAATTAAGGTGAGCTGCATGCATGAGTTAATGACATCACATCTTGAGTGAGTTCTAAGATAGTTATTAGTCATTGAACCAATTTTAAATTATATAAATATATTAATTAACTCAATCCAATTTAATGTGTACTAATGTGAAATATTTAAGGGAAATTTTTAAGATTAAGCATGATTATAAATTGTATTAAGAGTTTAAGCATGTTTTTTAAAAAATTTAAAAATAGGCAAAGTCACCCGGTAAACGGGCGACTTACTAGTCTAGTCAGCATTCAAAAAAATTTTAAATAATTTTTTTAAAAAATAAAATTACTGTAGCAAGTCGCCCGTTTAACGGGCGACTTGCTACAGTAAAATATTATTTATAGAATTAATTTATTTCAGAAAATGCTTGTAATTTTGATTTCCAGGGAGGCTTATCGGCACCTTCCCACCTTGATCTGCCTGCATGCAACGGCTTGAGCCTTCTCCCTGAGACTCAGAAGAGCTCTTTCTGCGCCGCTCATTGTGGCCAGCCAAACGCCTCCGACAACTCCTTTACTAAATCTGAATTAACATTTAACATAATGTAGTAAATTCTACTTTTAGCTAAAGAATGTAGAAAATTTCTAAAAATCAAGAATTTCTGAAATAATTTATTAAAAAAGTACTATTTTACTGTAGCAAGTCGCCCGTTTAAAACGGGCGACTTGCTATAGTAATTTTATTTTTTTGAAAAAAAAAATTAAATTTTTTTTGAATGCTGACTGGATGCTGACTAGACTAGTAAGTCGCCCGTTAAACGGGCGACTTTGCCTATTTTTAAATTTTTTTTAAAAGATGCTTAATCTCTTAATACAATTTATAATCATGCTTAGTCTTAAAAATTTGCCCAATATTTAATTAATAAAAGAGAAGATGAAATGGAAGATTAAAACTAATTTGTTATCAATAAATATTTTTGTTTATTTTGCTTATTAAATTTAATTAAGGAATCAATAAATTTATATGTTACATATATAAATAAAAGAATTATAATACTATTTAATTAATAATTAGAAATTAAGTGAGATTTTTTTTTAAGCCTCCAATGCTTTTTTACTACCCAACTTGCTATTACATCAAAAGCTTTTTAGAACTCTAGGTGGAGCTTCAGGGCATCACACAGCTCACCTTAGTTTGTTGGTTGAGAGCTTAAGCTTCCAATTAAGAGGTCTTGGGTTCGAGTCTTTGTGTATGCGTTGTGTGTGTGAGTTTGCCTTAAAAGGCCAAAATGTCCCAAAAAAAAAAAAAAAAAGCTTCAGGGCATTACTCTGTGCCGCTATCAAATATACCTCTTAGCACTTAATTATCATAATTAAATTTGGTCAATCTCCCTCTTTTAAGAAAAAATTGATAATTTGTTCTGCTTTTCTTTTTCAATCACGCTCGTTCTTATCTTGTGTCGGCGGTACAACTTTGGACGGTCCCAAAAAGTCATCTCCGAAGGCCCCACTAGCACGGACCCCGACCCCAGGCGAGCCCAACTGCTTTCTATATATGGAGCCCAGCGCTCGAACCTGCACCACGTGACCTCCAAAATCCTAAGTATTTCGTCTCGCCTTCTCCTCTTTGTTGACCGGCCCTAAATCCTTCAAGCGCAGCAGCCATGGTGTTCAAGGAAGCGAGTTCCTCATCACATGCCTTACCGATTATCGCCGGCGACTCATCGGTTCCCCTTCTCGGCCTCAAATCCGGAAGCTACCTCTCTTCTCAACCTAAAACCTTCGCTAACGTCTTCATCGCCATCGTCGGCGCTGGCGTTCTCGGCCTCCCATACGCCTTCAAGCGCACCGGATGGGCCGCCGGAACTTTAATGCTACTCGTCGTAGGTGCCCTCACCTATCATTGCATGATGCTTCTCACGCGCACCCGCCGCCGCCTCGAGGAAGAAGTCGGGTTCTCCAAGATCGCCTCCTTCGGCGATCTCGGCTTCTCCGTCGCCGGTCGTGTCGGTCGCCTTGCCGTAGATCTTATGATCGTGCTTAGCCAAGCAAGTTTCTGCGTCGGGTACCTGATATTCATCTCCAACACGCTTGCCCACATACTCCCTCAAAAGCCCAATAAATTACTCTCCCTCGCCGCTTTGCTTCCTTTCCAGCTCGCTCTCAACTCAATCCGAAGCCTCACCCTCCTCGCTCCCCTCAGCATCTTTGCCGACATAGTCGATATAGCCGCCATGGTGGTTGTTCTCGGTGTCGATGTAAACACTTTCGCTCACCGACAGCCAGATCTAGTCTCCTTCGGCGGGTCATCCGTCATCTTCTACGGCCTCGGCGTCGCCGTCTATGCCTTTGAGGGGATCGGCATGGTGCTTCCACTTGAATCGGAAGCAGCCGACAAGAATAAGTTCGGGCGAACCCTAGGCCTCTCCATGGCCTTCATCTCCGCCCTGTACGCCTCCTTTGGCGCCTTCGGGTATGCTGCCTTCGGTGATGATACAAGCGACATCATAACTACTAACCTGGGCCGTGGCATAATCCCCCTGGCCGTGCAGATCGGGCTCTGCATCAATCTGTTCTTCACCCTTCCGATCATGATGAATCCTGTGTACGAGGTGGCCGAGAGGTGGGCCTACGGTAAGCAATACTGTATATGGTTGAGGTGGGCTCTGGTGATGATGGTGTGCTTGGTGACGCTGGTTGTACCCAATTTCACCGACTTCCTGTCGCTGGTTGGGAGCAGCGTTTGCTGCATCCTAGGGTTTGTTCTTCCGGCCGCTTTTCATCTTAGGGTTTTTGGGCCGGAGATGGGTTGGATTGGTGTGGTTTCCGACGGGGCGATCATTGTGATCGGCGTCGTTTTCACCGTCTCCGGTACTTTCTCTACGGTGATGGAGATTCTCTTCTCGGTGAAGGTGTAAGGAAGAAGAAGCGATTTGTACCTTGTACATAGCTTGGATTCAATTACAGTTCGAGGAATCTTTATCGTATTTTCGAGCTGCAAAATGGAATCATGGGAAATGTGAAATTCGAGATGGTTTTAATAATCGGAAGAACAATTCACCATTGGTAGGTTATGAAACAGAATTATAGTATTGGAGCAGTGCAGCTAATTCATTGTAAGTAATAAGAACACAAATGATTTGGGTATTATTTGTGTGAATTTGTTAGTGTCAGATGTCTGATGTCAAGTCTTTGACATCTACGTCCTTCGAGAATGTATTTGTTGTAGGATCAGATGAATTTGGAAAGCTTTGATAAATTTTCTTCCTGTTCTGAACTGTATTTCTTAGTAAATTATTAATCAGATTAAAACTATTCATGATAAGTAAAGGAGGAGCTTACCTATGCCTCCTATCCTTCAACGAGTTTGTCATTCTCATCAGAAATTTATGTTCTGGTGGGAGGTCTTTGTGAGCCTCATATGCAAGAGAAGTTACATATGGGATAATATGGGTACATTATTGATAATGATTTGATAGTGTCCGTCGAGCGACAGTGGTATGATGATGGCGATCTGGTGGATGTCAGTGATCGAGTGGCGACCGTTTCATAATGGTGGTTGAATGGCGGTGGCCTAATGTTGGAAATTCGACAATGGTAGTGGTATGACGACTAGTCGACTATGGTCAAAAAGCATCGATCTAATGTTGATAATTCAACAATGGCAAAGGTATGATGAATGTGCTCGGGCAACGGCAGTTCGATGATGATAATCAAGCATGAAAGTCTATGACGATGAACGAGCGATGGTTCGACGGCGACGATCAGACGATGGCCCAACGGTGTTGGTCGAGTGATGAAGGTTTGACGATGGTGGTCAAACCACAAAGGTTTGACAATGACAGTCAGTCGGTAGTCTGGTGGAAGTGCTTGAGATGTGGTCTGACAACAAAGATCCAGCGTTGAAGGTCTGACGGCCATTGTTTGACGGTGGTACGACAACAGTGGTGCTTTGATGATCTCTGGGATTCTTCAAGTCTTCAAGCCCTCATGAATCTCTAACCAAGGGTTCCTTGCATGTAAAGAGTAGGAGTCTATTTATAAGTTACTGAAAGTGCATGCCCCATAAACATGAAGACAATATGGAACATTATATTAAACGGCTCGTATTGATTCTTTTGATCATCCCTAAATCCGAAGCATTTAAGCATTCGTAATTAAATGATCTTAGGCTTGTTGGATTCATCTTGTTGCGATGCTCAATTTGACTTTAAGAATGAAAGTTTTGACATCATTTGGTCTCCCGATTACTATTACAAAGTTTCCAACTAGGCTCAGGCTCTTCATTCTGACTTATTTAGACTCAGATTGGCTTATTTTTTGTGATGCTGGATTCTTCTCATTGAGCTGATCAGATTTACTATAATTTTGTTGAAATTGGAGCTTGGATGGCTGCCAAAACTATTCCAAATAAAACAAGTCATTAACACTGGGCCAACTAAATAATCTATAAGTTCTTTTAGAAAAACTTATTGTCAGTCAACTAATGTGTTAGTTTTTTTTAAGTATATTGAAGTCATCAAGACGAAAGGCGTCATACTCATCTATAAAACTTATTTTCAAGAATTGCTCATCATGTCAAGTTTCCTGAGAAGTGAGGATCATCTTATTATCTTCTTTGGGGATGAAAACCAAGTCTTAGAACTCTTTCCTCTACTCCTCTTATTGATGAGACTGAACTCCAAAAAAAAGTAGTGTCAAGCCATCACTTCCTCATCATGGAGTAATTATTGTGTCCGGACACCGAACGCGTCTAGAGACCAATAACAAAATGCCACATCACTTGGGTGCTCAGTACCGAGCACTCGGTATTTGTCTAAATTTCTGATTTTTTGTCCGGACGTAATAACTTTTCCTCATCGTGCCATAAAATGCCAACCTCAAGTTCAAGTGCCTCTATATTGAAATTATAGAGGCTCTACCTCCTCCAAAGTTTAAAATCCCTTGCCTCTACTTATATAGAAGGAAATCAAACCTTGCTGACCAGGACAACTACTTTGTGTTGGCAACTTCTCTTTTTTAATTTCAAAGACATACTGAAGTGTAGTTTATTCCTTATTCCTTTTAAGAATGTGTCATTGAGAGTATTACCTCTTTGAGTTTAAGTGACAATTAAATTATTTGAACTCTTTAGCTCTTTTAAATTTGAGATAAGAGAAGGGTGAGTAAAATATTTCAAAATTGAATTCCAGACATCAGATGCTAGAATCAACTGTGGCACAAGACATGTTAACTTGGAGAATTCAAAGAGGTTCATTTAGATACACCCTCGATTTCTAGTAGTCGAGAAGGTTGGCTGACAATATGGGTGTAAATGAGTCGAGCGAGCCCATAGACGAGTCGAGCTCGAGCTAGCTCGGCTCACTTACATCCCTAGCCGTCAACCATACTAATGCAAATGAGTATAATCTTGTATATATTGTCTAAATCCTTGACCCACATGACTTTGATTCCATGGTGGAAGTCTTTTCTACTTCCCTGGAACCAATAAGGATGGATTTAAATTCATAGGGACAAGTTTGTCAAGCAATCATGAAATCAATGAAAGAGATAGAAGCTAAATTATTAAGGTAGGCAAGCATCAAGCGACTTCGAACAAGAGTGAAGTCAAAGATGTAGACAAAATCGATCTCGATAGAGTTATAGTTCAACATCAGGAAATAAGCTAGGGTACTCAGTCTAGGGGTGTAAGCGAGCCAGGTCGGCTTATAAGCCAATTCCAGTACAACTCGCTAACATGTCATGAGTTTGAGCTTAACTTCAAGGTCATACATTATATGAGCTCAAGCTTAACTCGACTCGACAAGATGGCTCGATTAATATTAATTAACACATCGGCATTTATATTAGCCTAATTTTTTTTTTTTTTTTTGTCTTGTTCAAAATAAGAAATCAAGCTTCAAAATGAGTCAATCTAGAGCTTTCTCATCAAACTCTAGCCTAATATTTTTCACTCGAGCTCAGCAAATGAGTTCAATTTAACCTCAAGTTTGAGTTCGAGCTCAACATGAATTAAATGAGCATGGCTTAACTAAGCAAGAACACAATTCGACTCGACTAGCTTACACCACTAGTTCTCACTTAACTTCGCAATCCCCATAGTAAAGTTCTCAACCTTCATACATTGAAAGATTGTGAAAATATTTCAAGTTGCAACTTGTCGTGAATGAAGCAAATTTGAACTAAGAGTTTATCGAAGCCTGAGTGAAGACTATGAAATGACTACTTGTCCAAGAAACTGGGCAAGCGATGAATTTGCCAAAGCTACTGAACCACTTATTTAGAATAAACTCATTGTAAGAACTTGCCAAAGTAACCAGCTAATTCCTCCAAGAGAACTCATCAATAGAATTTGCCCCATTAAACTCGAAAACTCGGCCTTAATATGAAACTCTAAAAAAGATACTAAGTAATTAGGCAATTGTCAGCTAGACAGACATGCCAAGTAATTGGACATCTGTCTGCTAGCAAGACAATCATTTTACAATAAGTATTATCCAATCTTACTCTATAATTTTACTTTACTATTTAATTATAATTATTCATATAGTACTAAATTTTAATCTGAACTTATAAGACCATCTCTAACCGAACTCCATACCATCTTATGCCGTCCATCATTTGCTCCATTCAAACTTCAAATCGCACGCCAAATTTCGGTAGTTGAACAGTTCACCTACGCCAAAAAATTTCGTTACGGAATTTGCCTAAGAAGTGCGCGAAAGAGGAGAAAACAACACCAAAGATGGTTACCTTCGCAAGAAGCGCGCGAAAGAAGAAGAAATGATTTTCGATTGGAGAAGAATGACTAAATTTTAAGTTTTACTGCATTTTGGAGTGGAAATGAATTTTTTGGTTGGAGATGCCCAAAGTAGGGGGGGGAGGAGGCCAAAGGATGTGTCATATCATCATATCACAGAAAATTAATAAGATCCATAGATTGTCTATCACTCTTCTGAGCTTGATTATCTATTAGTAAGATTTTGATATTACTCAGTGATACAACTTTTTTTCTCATCAATTGGTTGATTATTGGTTAGACATAGAAAGCTTGCTTTTAACTCATACATTTTATTGTTCAAAATTAGTATATAATTTATTCTAAGATCTATGATTCTCAAAAGACATTATATTATGAAAATCACAAACTTGTACTTTGCATGCGTAAAAGACATATTCACTCTAAAAAAATGAGTATCACACGAGTAAGATCTTTCTAACTCAAAAGCAACTTTGATAGGTAATAAACCGAACTGAACAAGAATCTAAGTCCCTAACGTGCTCATATTTAGCTTATTTACACCCTAGGAAAAGAATGCGACCACATACTTGGATAAGGCATTTGTTCCTGAATGCACAGAGCTCTTTCAATGTCATTAGAACTGTGTTCGTCTTCTCTTCTGTTGGGCTCAGGTTGAACGGGGTCCTCTGATGAGGACATCAAAAGATCGACGGCTATGATGTGGAGTTTATTATTTTCTTTTGTGTCTTATGTATTAGTTTATTTTGTTTTCATGTTTTCCCATTTTACCCCTAGGGGTGGTCATTTGATATTGTAGCCCCGAGGCATCATCCTCGCTCTCATGGGTTTCCTCTACCTTGGTTTTCTTCCTGCCAGAAGATTCAATCTCTGCCTCACTTTCAGCTTGCTTTTTTTTGGATCGAGCTCTTTTGTTCTGGAACCAGTTATATACTTTAACATCAGTGACATGGCCATGCTTTGCGAGCTCAGAAGTGATCTCAGCTATTTTCTGCTTGCTGGGAGTTCCATAGCCTTGCCTGAAAATGTCCTCGAGAATCTGCAGTTGCATGGACGTTGGGATCCACCGTTGCCTTGCAGCAACCTTTGGGACTTCTGCTGACACTAAAGGGTTGTATAACATAGTTCCAAACTTCATTCCTGCAAAGTTAAGTTAATAATATTGGACTATGATTTGAAGACAACAGAAAAGAAGGTATTGTCAAGACAAGCAGTATGAAAAGAAGGAAAGTGTTTCCACCAAGACACAATGGATGAAACAAATTGTGAGGAGGTTACCTTCTTTAAATTTTTTAAAGCTATCCTAGATCTGAGAATTTTATTGGATTTAGGGCCTGGTTCTTTCGCTGAAAAAGAAATCAGAGTTAAAGAAATACAATTTAAAGTAAATATAGTGTATTGAAAATATTTTTAAATTGTTTGGTTGAGTACACTATAAATGCAGGAGATTACTTTTTCGTATTTGATTTTAAGTAAAATTAACTCAATATAAAATTTGAAGGAGACAATGATGGGGTGACTGGCCGATGACAACAACAGGTGGCGGCAAGTATTGACCGGCGGATGGCGGCTAACAATGGTGGCGACTGACAGCGGGCAATGTTGTCTGATAGCAGATGGTGACTGGTAGTGTGCAACAATAACAAGTAGAGCTTCACAAGAGATGTGTATATGATATTCATCTAAATAGGACAAACTTTAAATAAATAAAAATGAACTAAATAGAGAATTCTAAAGACATTTAAAATTTCTCCGCATTTACTTTTCTTCCAATCAAACACCAAAAAATTCAAAAGTCTAGCATTTGATTTATTTTACACAAGTATTACTTGCAACTAAACAAACCTTTAATGAACTGTTAGGGTTGCATAAGTCATGATTACTTATTATTGTTTTGATGAATTTTAGCAAGTCTGAAGTGGTGGTTGATTACTTGGTTGAACCAAAGACAAAAGATGCTTAGAATGGTGAGTTGGCTTCCATAAAAGCACTGGCACGTCACATCAAGTCCATACACATCGCTCGAATCAGAGCATGTTTGAGAAAATCAGAACTTCCCAAGGCCGTTACACCTCTTATATTCGACGATTTTATAAACTTTGTCACAAAATACTTATCTTGGGGAAAAAAGTACATCCAATTTAAATGACAAGATGATGTCGTTTGTTTTTTTATCAAATTTGTTCAAAAGGCAACGAAACTTCTTGAAATTGTTCTTGACAATCCGCCCATTAAAACTTCGATCAGTTATCATTGATCATTTCATGATGTTATTGCATAAATTATATCGAGTTGTCTATGTTAGGTGAAACCACCATATGATCAAATATGGACATGAAAGGATACAATCTCCATTATCTATTGAGGATAATCATAAGGAAATATCTCGAATAAGAACTAAAATAGACATACAAAAATCTATAAATATGACTCATTTTCAATTCATTCAGCAGGTTTTTTCTCTAGGTGCATTTGGCCAGTTGTAGTTGAATAACATATTTTAAAAAGTGATGACTTTGTTCTTTTTTCCCCACTCATTTTGAGTCTATAAACAAAATCCCCACTTTCGAAAAATTTCTAATGTATTTGTGAAGTTGAAAATTCATATTGATTTCAAATTACATCCAATCAAATAAAAGAATCTAAAAAACTCCTCATCTTCCAAACACATTTCTAATTCAAACTATGAAGCTAGCCTTGAGGGGTTATTTGGCAACAAATAGGATTTAACTTTAATGGGATTTAGTAAAGCCTGTAAATTCAGATTTAGTAAATTTTGAGGGTGTTAAATCCCGAAAATTGTTTGGTATGACACATGTTAAATCTGAGAAACTGTTTCGCAACAGATTTCAGGATTTATGACAGTATAGGATTTAAATGTGAACATATTTATAACACATAAATAAGAACTAAAAATTTGGAATAATTAGCATTGAATTATATTTATAAGTTAATTACTAATTCAACATAAGTTTAACATGCGTGTAACTATGAATTACTTATTAACTTTAATTCTAATCATCTTTAATAAATTATAATGAGAAATAATATAAATAAAAACTAACTTAATTATTACTAATTATCAAATTAATTATTTAGATGTTAATTATCAAATTACTTATTATATTACTAATTGTATAATTATATTCCTAAATCTTAATTAATTAGTTAATTATTTTTTGACATTACAAATTGTTTAAATAATACTCATACTAATGATTTAATTAATTATTTAAGTATTATTTTTTAGTTTTAATTATTAATTATTAATTATATTATTAATTATCTCATTGTTTACTTAAATATTCAAATTCTATTTAATTTTTATTTATAATATTACGTATGTAATTTACTATTTCTATTTTAAATTATATTAATTGAAAAAACTAATGATAATTATACTATTAATTATTTTATTAAGTTAAATTAATTATTTAATGCTAACTTAAATTAATTCCTAATTTAGGAGTCTGTCTAGGTTTTGCTTTCCATCTTCTTCCCATCTTCGTTGTTGTCGCTTTTCCTCGTCACCATTTCTTCGTGGCTGCTTCAGCTTCTGGTGCTTCTCCTGAAATAACTTTTGATAGGCGCTAAAGCAGCTTCTTCGCCTCTTTTGACGGGAAGTCAAGATGTGAGCTTGCTCGCTCGCACCCGGAGGAAGAACTTTGCAAATCTGTAAATCTTGTTAAATCCGCCAAACGACGGGATTTAGTAAATACTGGATTTACACTATAAGTCTGGGGTTTAAGAGGGATTCAGATTTATTAGGCGCTCAAAAACTGTTTGACAGAATTTACCATAAAGCTAGCCTAAATCCTGCTTCAAATCCGATACCAAATAGCCCCTAAGATATTAAAAAAAACTCATGATATCTTCTTTACTGACAATTGTGAACAAGACATTGACCATTGCCCACTTCGTATATCTTTCGGGTGATCATTGCGCAAACATCCTCATATCAAAAATTGCTCTTAGCATTGCATATGTCTTATAGTTGACTAACACAATTGTGGAGTGTGCATTGCTCTTAGCACTCTGTGTTGTAGCCCTTTTAAATGTTGCCCATGCTCTGTACAAATAGACCTCATAACAACAATTAATATTGTGCGTTGTTGTTAGTTGTTCATTGCAGCCATCTGGAGACCAAACAGCTATTTTGTTCGTTGCAATCTGACTCAAGCTTGTTTGGGACGGCTTTCTTACTATTTTTTAAAAATAAATTTTTAATATAAAAATTTTAATTTTTATACTATAAAATTACTTTAAGAAACAGTAAGAAAGCCATCTCAAACAAAACCTCAGATGCATTATATACACAAATATTGATCAAGTTGCTTGTCATCGTAAAAAAAACTAGACAATATTCATAACTTCAACAAGCACCACGTCATTACATATGCCATTTCTCAAGGGCAAATTTAAGAACAATTATATATATATATATATATATTAGTAAATCCTCACTTTGTGATGTTATTAATTATAAAATTTTAATTTCTACCCCTTCAAATAAGAAATTTATTTCATTAATTTAAATGCTTCAGCTAAGAAAAAAAATCTGACTCCATTGCTGCCAATCCTGAATGAACATGCACTAGCCACGCTATCCAAGGACAAGGGTCAACTTCGTCACCTCCTGCTATTGTTATATTTAAGACCATCGTGAATTATGGATGGATTAATTATTATATCCGGACATCGAATGCCGGCCGGAGATCAATCAAAATGTGCCACATGTCCTCTTCATTGTATATCGCGGCTCCGTACTGTTGATATTACTACACCTAAACATAGAGTTCCATCCGGCCTCCACATAGAATAATTTCTCCTCTAAATGCCCGTGGCATCACTTATTTTGATGATTGAAAGGTGTCTTGTATTTAGTCCCTCCAACTATTTGAGCTTGACCATCTTTGTACTAATTTCAACCCTTAGTCAATGAATCTCTGCAACTGAGCCAACCCCGTAGTCAAATTTTTCCATCTTTTTATGATTTTCCAGGTAAAAATACCCTATGCTTGATTATGCATGAAACTCGCGTTTTCTCACAAACTGCGGTTATTTTCTCCCAGTAAACACCAATTTTACCCTTATTAAACATCTAAACCAAAATAAAATTTAAAATTCAAACCCGTGACAAAAAAGGATTTAAACCAATAAAATCCCAGAAATTATACAAGGTTTCACTCCCAGAACCTTGCTTCTCAACAATGAGCAATATTTCCTCTAGCACCTAATTCCCACCAACCCTATATTTCATGATAGTCAAAATTTAGAAACAAAATTCAAATCAAGAAAAGAGGGGAAGAACGAACCTGCTAGGGCTTCCTGCTGCGAAGTAAAGGTTCTATGCATCACCACGAGCTGTTCGCAAATAGTGGCGTAAATGGAGATTTGCCGCCGGAGAACTTCGATCTGCTCGTCCGTCATCACCTTCATATACAAAACCCCATCGAGAATCCCCTGCCAATCTCCCATTGCTCTCTCCTCCTCATAAATCCGGCCATGGTTCATATTGCTCGAGCCACCCCTTTCCCATGCCATGGACTCCTCTTCTTCCCTCAAACCCCGCTGTTTCTCTCTCTTCCGCGTATGGAGGCGGCAAAGAGAAGTGGCTATGGCCTATGAGAATTGGAAAGGAAAGCAGAGGCTAGAGAGAGAGAGAGAGATTGAGGTAGGAGAAAGAAAAAGGAAGAATAATTGAATCGCGCGCGGGCTTTATAGAACATCGGACGAGCGATTTGTTTCGGCTATAATTTCAAATAAGATTCTTTACTTTATTTCTGTTAAAAAAATAAAGAACTCTATAAAATATATATTCTTGAAGAAAGATATGAATAAAATATATAATGATAATTTTTATTTTATCACTATTTTTTATTATTTCAAAAAAAATTAAGCTAGAAAACTAGTTTGTATAACAGCTTCTAAAAAAATTAAATTTCTTTATAACAGCTTCACAACTATCATTATAAAAAATTATAGCTATCTCAAATAAATCCTAAGAGTCTATTTGAGATGTTGTATCTTTTTATAAAAATGATTACAAAGTTATTGCAAGAAAATTACTTTTTTAAGTTACTTTGAACAATCGCTTCTTATAAACTGAAAGACAAATCAGTAAGAAAGTTATCTTAAATAAAACTTAAATTTATATTAAAATTAGTGATATAATATAACATTAAAATTGATATATTATCAAAAACTAATCTTGATTAAACACGAATCTCGATATAAACTTGAATTGAAAAGTTCTAAAATTAAATTAGAGATCATCTGAGCTCCAATTTTAGCAAACTTATAGTCGAATGAACGTCTCTAAAAACGAACCCAACGACACGTAATTCGACCCAATTCAAGTTCAAATGGGTCCAAATCAAGAACCCGAAGCACATTTGGAAGGTTAAAAGCATAATTGGATGACCAAATTATATCAAAATATGACATGCTTATAGTCGAATCGAGCGGCTCGACGAAAAAAATCCAACGAGCTTAAGATCGTCGAATTATAACATCATTAAGATATTTAAATACTTGATAAACGACCCACGATCAAAGGAGTCGATATCGAGTATCCATTCAAAATACTCTCAGCATACCCTTGATCTTCTCCATATTTACTTGTCATATCACTATTTGAAAACTATAAATAAACCACACATTCGTCACTAAATGGAGAAAAAGTTAGGAAAAAATGATAGGAAGAGAAACCAGAGAGTTCTCATGCCACCAGACTACTCCTCAACCACCGACATTCACTAGACTTTTGCCAGAATTCTGCCAGGTCACCAACTATCATCGAACTTAATCCCCACCATCGATTGTGATTGAACTTTTATTGAGATAGGTGGTGGTGGTGGTCGGATAGAGATCCAACGATGATGATCAAGAGGAGGTTCAACAATGGTGGAGGTGAGGGTTCACCAGTGAGGTTATCGGAGTGGAGCTCCGCGAATCTTCAAGCCTTATAGCTCTTTTGATCTCTAGCCCAAGGTCCAAGCTTCCAAAGTTTCAGGCCCCCAAAGGTCTCCTCCCTTTTCATGTAAGAAGATTGTGTCTATTTATATATTTTGAGAATGGCATGCTTATAGTAAATCAGTATAATGATAATAAATCAAAAATGCATCCCAATAATCACACTAAGCAAGTAAAAAAGCTTTGTCTTGCATGGTATTTTTCCAACAATCAATAAATCAGTAACCGTTGGCTCAGTAAACAGAGTCATCACTTTTTTCCATCAATATTATCTCCTTATAACTCTGAATCAGTAAATCACATGAATCAATAGAGAATAAAATAAAACCATAATATTTAAAGGAAAAATCATCGGTTTACCATCCTGTACATGTCAGTTAATCTCCAACCAACATCAGTGACTAACTAGTCCTTATTTATTTTCACACACATTATTATTCAAATATTATATAAGCAATAACTACTAGCTATCACCTAATCACATAATAATATTCATTCATTGTACTTGCAACAATAGTATAATCATATTAAAATGTCAAAATTAATATTCTTATTAAATTGTATACAATGCAATAACTACACTTTTAATCGATAAAATTACAAAACCAACCAATTAAAATGCATAGAATAATCAATACTATAATATATTATAAGTTATATGATAGAAGTTCATGAAATCTAGAGAAAATGCCATAAAATTTAGTTTGGAAGGAGTCAAACGGTAGAACTCTAAATGTTTGAAACAGAAATAAGATAAGAGCCACCTACGGTGATCTAAATATTTTTTTAAGCGATGAAGCAATCTGACAATCAAAAACCTGACTTTCTTTTTTATCTCTCCTCCTTCCTTCCCTTTTTTTCTTTCCTTCCAGAGCAAGCCAAAGCTTGAGAAGAGGGAGGAAGGAGTGAGTGGCAGAATTTTGATTTAATTATATATAAAAACGACTGCTTGTGCGTGGAGTCGCGACGCTTGCCAGATACAACGTTGCAGCGTTGCATGTAAACGAGAATGTGCCATTGCACCACACCTTCAGGTGCTGCTGGCCCGCTGCGTTAAATTAATTTCAACATTTTTCAAGACTAAAATGCCAAGGCGCCAAAAGACCAAGCATCACAATGCTCAAGTTCAAAATTTTTATATTATTTAATTTTTAAAATAATTTCTAAATTTTCACCCTTTCTCTCTCTCACTCTCCATATTATGTTGTTCTTGAATTTTTATACATGCTAATGAAAATCTCATTAGGATTTTAACTCAAGATTCTTATATTAAAGAGGATAATCGCTATTCCTCCAATAATTAACATCCCTTTACATAAATAGAAAATGCAAGTTATGAAAGGTCGGCCTCATGCAAGCAATCATAACTCTAATTTGAAGATTTATGAGTGATGTTCATTTCAAAGCTTAGATCATTAACTACTAGTGACAAACTTTCATCTAACAAAGTATCTCAGCTCTTCAACACTTCTTCTAATGATTTTTTTTTTTTTTTTTAAAGTTATATCTGAACTTTAATTTCTCTTAGAAGCAACTTGAATTCTTTTGAGAGTAGTACCCTTCTCAATTTGCCATCACATCAACAAGTTTTTTTATCATTGAATTATGGGAATTTGACAAATATTCTCTAACCCATCCAGTTAGCAACAAGGTGTTAGGGTTGTGCCCTAAAGAAATATTATTGTAATATATTTTCTATGGAAATAAATATTTAAAGACAAGTTTAGCATGTTTCGATATTATCATTTAATATAATATTTTTTGTTCCATGATTATTTATGTGATCATAATTTAGTATATAATTATATACAAGAAGATTGAATTATGGATAATAATCAAAACAAGTTCATAATTATTAATTATAGTTGAAATCTATAATTAAATATTATTAGTACGGTCCATCAACATTAAGAATGGAATAATCTTATCCGGATTATTCGATATGGAGATATTAAGAATGGAGGTACTTTATATAATACGATTATATAGAACTGGACTAGATAAATTTTGAATTCTCTAATAAATTCTGTTTTAATTATATAGAATTTAAAATTAATCATAAAGATGATCATATATAAAACAATCTTAATCTTGAGTTATTAATAAACTCCTATTTGTAACATTTAATTTTTCGGTTTACTCGGAAATAGTTTGGAAGAAATAAACTCAATCATTGTATTTCAGAAACACAATGAAACAAATGACTGGGAATGCTAATATACATATATGAAATCCATTCCTTTCAATTTTGAAGGTTAGAAAATTAGTTCCCTTGAATAATTAATTTATAACTTGAACAATTGAGCGCTCAAATTTTGTGACTAGGCCACAAAGTTTATTGTTCATTAGAGAATTAATTTGAATTCAAGGATCAAGATATAATTAGTGAGGTGACAGAATTACCTAGCTCTAATTATGAAATTTTTATGGATGATTATTTTATATGTAATGATTAAATCAATGGACGATTCAATTTTTTAATTGAGTAAATTATACTATAATTTTAAGAGAGCAATTTTATATTTATAGTGGAATAATATTGAAATTAATAATTTTGATTTATTAATTTAAGAGTTAAATTAATAATCAAATTTATTGGAGCTTGAATTATAAGTCCATAGGTCTATTCTTCATCACCTAAGCTCTATTATATATTGAACACTAAGAATGTGACATAATATAAATGTTAATTATGATCATATTAGTAACATTTTTATTATCACCTTTTAATTTTATATTTCATGAAGATAATGATGACTCATCATTAATATTTTATTAATATTAAAAGATAAAGATAAGATTGATGATAAGTCATGATGTGTCATAATAATTATCATCAAATATCTTTTAATATTAAAAAAATAAAGATAAGATTAATGATAAGTTTGATGATATGTCATGATGTATCATGATAATTATCATTTTAATATTTATTAAAAATGCTTCATGAAATACTAAGAGGTGCTTATGAAAAGATGTGAACTTTTCTTATAAATAAGAATTAAGTTCTACAAGAAAATGATAATGATACATAATTCCTTCATGAGAGATGGAAGAATATGTATGAGAAGAATGTTGTTCTCATTATCGTTTCTTTTGAAGGATTAAATCGTGTTTAGAACACAAATTAGATTCAAAAGAAAAAGTGTTCATCAATAATTGATTGATTGTGCCAACTCACTAAAATATATTTTGTGGGGTGATTAGAAGAAGAAGGCTTACGGTCTCAATCAACGTTTCGACGAAGAAGATCTCAAATCTCAATCAATAATTCGGTAAAGTTTTCTTCATTTCATATTATAAAGTTATTTATTAAGAAAATTAATATTTAGAATGTCTTAATTTAATTTTCTAAAAATCCTGTTTTTTATTTCTGTATTTTATATTATGATATAAAAATTCAAACACAAGGTCCATAAAAAGCTTCATTTTTTTTTGAAGTATATTATATCAAATTTTTATTGTATCATATCATAATCTTAATGGAAGCTTTTATCCCACTACATATGGTAGACTATAAAAATTAATTTAAGCAGCAGTCCCAAATGAAGTATTAATTTCAATAATTTTACTTTCTAATTGCATATTAACAATAAGTATAGCATTAATTAAGTCGACATAATCCTAAACTTCGGCCGGCGGAGAGTGACGACGTAGATCACATGCCTCGAATCTCGTGCCTGATGTTCTT